GAAGTCCCTTTTTTTCTGAAAACTTTCTAAGAAGCTGAGACACCCACCCGTCTGGGACCACACCACTTCTGCCTAGGCTAGGGAACAGGTAAGATGATCTTTTCTTATCTTCTCCTGAGGGGTTGCCTAGTTGACTAGCTGGATGAATAGGAATTCCTTACAAGGCTCGACCCTGGCTCACCTCTCTTTCAGATTATGAGGAGACAGAAGTGACACATCCAGGTTTCAGAGGCATCAGATGTGTGGGCAGATCAAAAGTTGGCTACGGCCTTGGGGGAGGCCTTCTCCTCACACCTGCCTCCAACATCAGCTTGCTGTGTAACCTCGGGCCCCGGCGACCACCTCAGCCAGTAGTTCTAGGTGAACCGGCCCTCTGACACCAGGGCTCAGCCATGTAAGACAGAGAAAACCACCCTACGCAAGGATTTGATAATGTGTTACCTATTACATTGGGTGTCTTTTGCCCTGCAACATTGATTTTAGGGAAATTATTACCTATCAGGTAGGTAAAATGTATAAGAGTGGACTTCATGATGGGTTAAAAAGAAAAGTTAAACAAGTGAGTTATTGCAAGACTTTTTAGACCCATTACTATGCTTGGTGCTTTCTGCTGCACAGAGGGTGTGGCCAGATTCAGTGTTCTCCACACACAGTGACTGGGAAACAGAATTGTGAATAATGTTTTGTTTTCTAGTTTTTAATATTTTTGAATTTTCTAGTATAAGCATGTAATATATTTATAAATCAGTTATCTTTTAAAAAACTAGAGAAGAAAGGGGAGGAAGGCAAAGTTTGCTTATTTAAGAAATACTAAGCAAATTATCTTCATTTCACTATTAAATCAACTTGAATTTCCCAAAGTCAAACATACTTACAACACAATGGAGATCTAAGTATAACAAATATTCTGAGCGGTCTGGTCTGGTTTATGGCAATATGCCCAGGGCTCCATTGCCAAAACCAAAGGGAGGAAGTATGCCTAGACTTGAGGGCATGTGCCAGCATCGCCCTAGCATGGCTCAAGGGAGAAAGAATTCTCAGGCTGGTGACCAATGTCAGTATCTACCCCGAGGAAGGTGGGGCCCAGAACTGCCAGTGCTCACCCAGGGTCCTTGCTCTCATCCTCATTTCCCAGCCTACTTTGGGGTTCAGTGGGGGATTGGGGTCAGTTCAATGTGAGGGGCATTGACATGTGTTACATCTGGGGTAAGGCAATTACCAACCCATGTGCCTCTTCTGTCTATTTTTCCCCCGTTCCAGTAGCCTTGCAGGCCATGTGGGCTCTGTGGTGGGTCTACAAGACAGGAAAACCCAGGTCTCTAAGACACCCACTGAGAGAACCATGTAGGAGAGCTGCCCCAACCTGCTTTGGACTATGAATGAGAAAGAAACCTCTTTTTTATGAAGTTAAGCCACTGAGCTTTCAGGGTTTGTTTGTTGGGGCAGTCAATGTTAATTATCTGCATCCAAGCACAGAAGTATGATGGCAAAAACATCTCTTAGTAGCCAATGCTCTTTATCCTTGGTTCATGTTCACCACATAATCTTCCAATCACTCTTAGGCCTTCTCTACTGCCCTTCTCACTTAGCTTCTTGAAATAATAATCTATCCTAGTAATGCTAAGAGTGATGATAATAACAATGGTTTGATAACATGCTATGTGCCACTGACTGAATTAATAATTCTCATAACATCCACTAAGTTTAATTCTCATGACAATTTCATGAGGAACTACTATTATTTTTTCTTTATTAATTAAATTTATTGTGGTGACATTTGTTAATAAAACCATACAGGTTTCAAGCGTACCACTCAATAAAACATCTTCATCGTGTACTTACCACCCAAAGTCAAGTCTTCTTTCCATCTCCACTTATGCACCCTTTGCCCACTTCCACCTCCCCCAACCCCTCTTTCCCTCTGGCTATCACTATACTATGTGCCGTATAAACATATTTTTTGCTTAATCACTTCACCTTTTTTCACCCATTTCCCAGTCCCCCTCCCGTCTAACAGTTGTCTGTCTGCTCTGTGTATCTGTGCTTCTGTTTCTATTTTGTTTGTTAAATTATTTTGTTGATTAAATCCACATGTAAGTGAGATCATATAGTGTCTTTTTCTGACTGGATTATTTTTCTGAGCATAATAGTTTACAGGTACATTCATGCTGTCACAAAAGGTAAGATTTTCTTCTTTTCTTTTTATAGGAGCTCAGTATTCCACTGTGTAAATGTATCACAGCATTTTTATCCACTCATCTACTGTTGGCACTTGGACTGTTTCCAGATGTGGCTATTGCACACAACACTGCTATGAACATAGGGATGCATGTATTCTTTTGAGTTAGTGTTTCAGGTTTCTTCAGATATATTCCCAGAAGTAGGATCACTGGGTCAAAAGGCAAGGAACTAGTATTATTAACCCCTTTTTTTTACAGATGAGGAAAGTGAGGCTTATGAAGCAGAAGTATTTTGCCTAAATTACACAATTAGTAAGTGGCAGAGGAGGACTCAAACCTGGACCCATCTGACACCCAAGGTGTTAGCTTCTCCCACAGGAGAAGCCCAGCTTCTCTTCTACAGCACAGAAGCCCAGCTCCTCAGCAGACTTGAAAGGGACTCTCGGATGTGGCTGCTTCCTGCCTCCCCAGCTCCTGGTGCTGTTGTACCTACCCCCATCCCCACCTGCTGACCCTCCTCCCCTTCCACCTCTCACCCCAGCAATCATGACCTATCGTCACCATGGTAGTGGCTCTGGCTACTAAAAAAGTTAACTTTGTCCTCTGAAAACTGCACATGTTGACTCCTCTGTCCACCTTTTAGAACCTCCCTGAAGTTAACCACTGTCCTCTGTGCTGCTTCAGAATTCTCTTGTGTTGCCAATATCTCACCGTGTGGCAGTTACATTTCTGATAGTTATGTCTCCATTAAGGGCCTGGGCCAAGCATATGTAGCACTGTATGCCCAGCACTAACAAGTGTCAGGTATGTGATAAATGATAAATTTCTGTTTTGTTTTGTTTATTCACTGTTTTATTTTGTTAGGTTCCTCATATAAGTGAGATCATAATTGTGTTTGTCTTTCTCTGACTTACTTCATTCAATAATACCCTCTAGGTCCATCCATGTTGTCACAAATGGCAAAATTTTATCTTTTTATTGCTGAATAATATTTCATTGTGTGCGTGTGTGTGCAGTATCTTCTTTATCGGTTCTATTGATGGGCATCTATCTAGGTTGCTTTTATACCTTGGCTATTACTAGTACTGCTGCAATGAACAAAGAGGTGCATATATCTTTTTTAATTAGGGTTTTGTTTCCTTCAGATAAATGCACACAGTGTAATTGCTTGATCATATGGCAGCTCTACTTTAAATTTTTGAGGAATCACATACTGTTTTCCATAGTGGCTGCATCAATTTATAATCCCATCAACAGTGTCTGAAGTTACCTTTTCTGAAGTCAAGTTTTTGAACCACAGATACGGAGCACAGGATTCTGCTTCCACTAACCTTTCTCGAGCATGAGCTTTGTACCAGGCATTGCACAAGACATCCTCATGTTGCCTCACTTTAGCCTAATGATAACCTGGGGTATTATTCTGCCTATTTTATAGCTAAAGAAACAAGGCTGCAAAAGGTTGCAAGCTGTGCTCATGACCCCCAGTTACTTGCAGAGTCTGAATCTGAATTCCAAGCTATTGACTTGAAGTCTAGGACTCTCTCTGGACCCATTGTGATCCTGTTCAGATGCCCCTGTGAGCATCAGCCTGAATGTGTGCCAGCCTCTCACTTGCTCTTTATATCCTGTTGCGTCCTGACAGCATCACCATGGCCTGCAGACCTTTGAGAAATCTCTGAGCACAGAACATTCTGGAAGCTGAGTGGTGTGTAAAACAGCAGTGGGCCCATATTTAAAAACAGCTCAGACAAATGTACATTCACATCCATACTCAAACCAATGAAACTTCACCAAGGACCAAAAGAACATTGGTTATTATGTTAAAGAGAATCTACCTTTGGCTTTTTTGGGAGAAGAGTCATAACTTAAGATCCAGGCTTCTGGAACTGACCTTCTACTAACTCTTGACCAGTTTAAAATCTTGCCACAAGTATTGGCTTCCTATGTCATCTGATAATCTGAACATTCTTAAAGATTACCCATTCACTGGAGTTCTGGCCTGAGAGAAACATGACTTAGGAGGTGCATCTGCGGGTGTTAGGGAATAGCAATGAATCCTGAGTATCTCAACACCCAGTGGAGGGGAAGGTGGGATCCGGCAGTTGTGCAAGGATCACTCAGATAAAGCTACTTTGGGACTCTGTGGAACACACTGCACCTTAGATGCCCTGGGTTCCACGTCACCAACCTCCACATGTAGAAGAAATGTGGCCTGAGATGAGGATTCCCTTAGGAGAGAGAAACATCCTGTTCCTGCATGTGTTTCATAAGTTTATTGGTGAGATGCGGGAAGCAGGGAGGTGAGGTGTGAACCAGGACAAGAACCCACATATTGACAGCACAAGTCCCTTCACTGATGGGGTACTCCCAGCTGTGAAATCTGCAGGGGCCATGCAAGGTACAACCTATAACCAGGTGTCTCCCTTGAGCTGGCGTTGCTCTCACAGGAGACACTTCTTACAGGTCTCTCAGTGGGCCTGTAATCTTATGTACCCATGGAGTACATGGCCAAATAACTCCCTAGACCAGAGCATGGAAGGGGCGGCGGGAGGATTCCGGTTACTGTTAAGAAAACAAACAAACAAACAAAAAAAAACTTCCTCGGCAAGGATTCGTATTCAGGAAGGGGAAGCTGAGCTGGGAGGTCTCCTGGTACAGAGGCAAAAGGATGGGCTGGAATCCTGATTCTACCTTAAGAAAGACTAAGGCAGTGAAATGGGAGAGAGGAGATGGCAGTGACAAAGAAAACCAAGAGGAACTGTGACAAGACTGCCTGGGGAAGGGAGTCCAGAAGAATCCAGGGCGAGGCGTCAGCTATCTTTATCTTGTGGTTTTCCTGGTGGGTGAGCTCAAAGCTGAGGTCTTCCCGGGGGAGTCCTTGAATTCACTTGCACTCCCCAGCCTGGTTTTGGCCTCCCCTCGAGGGCTGGAGTTTCCAGTGCCAGTGACACAGCCTCTAGAGAGCACGCTGTAGCCAAGAGAGCTGGGCCGGTAGCCACAGGTACCCACACTGCTGAACCCAAAGCCGGCCCCTGCACCTGTGGTCCCGGCTGTGGAGCTGCTGATGACCGCTGAGGAGGATGGAGGGAGGAATGATTAGTGCATGTCCCAGGACAGGGGTCACCCAAAGTCCCCTCCGACCTTCCAGTCCGAGCTAACTTCAATGTCTCCTCCTTAAGCAAACACTGCAGATCAACTCTGGAGTTCAGTGACTCAATTTCTGAGCAGCTCAGGCACCAGAAACAGCTCTGGTCCCACAGGGCCTCCAAATCAGGCAGCTTCTCCTCCTTGAACAGACAGGAGTAGCAAGGACTTCCCCTGAAGAACGAATGGTGCCTGAGCAAGGCTTACAATTAACTTTAGAATACCGTCTTAATTTTTTTCAAAGAACTTCCTCATTGGTTGATTTAGGGGAGTTTTTTGCTGGCCTCTCTTGAAAGGAGACCGAGCAGAACCCTGTAGGACCAGCGTTAAAACTGGTTGTACACAGCATGGTTCTGCCTGATCTTCACTCTCAACGAGAGTTCTTCCGGCCCATGACTCCTGGGCTCCCATCATGTGTGAAAACTGAGTTTCATGCCAGCACGGGGGAGACTTCTGGGGGAAGGGGCCAGTGTGAAAGGTCAGAAAGTGATGGCTCGCTCACTCCACAAGGAGAAGCAGGCCTCAGCAAGGGACGTGATTACGGCAATGGAGCTGTTTCATGGGGGTCCTAGTGCTAGAAAGCCACTACTTTGTGTTTATTAATGGACTAAAAATATTCCTCAGAGGCATGAAATACTCACAAATGCTCACAGAGTTGGTATATTCTCCAGACATCCTACACGGAGGGAAAAGCACAGGTGAATCTCCATCACATGGACCTTGAGCTACCCTCACCACAGCCTGACATTCTCAGCCAGACGAGCTCAAGTCCAAGTGTAAGCTGCCCTTGGTGTTTCTAAGCACCTCCCTCTCCAACCTCAGTCTACTGTGCCCAACTCAAAGATGTATGAACTTGCAACCCAGGAGCCCCCAGCAGAAACACTACCTCCAGGGTCCCTTCTGCCAAGTTTCCCTTTAGCCCACTTTTTCATTCCTGAGAAGCTACGGCATGAATAAGTACATGTGGAAATATGAGCATCAGGATTTGCCACCAGTGGACTCTCTGTATGATTTTAGGGCCAGTACCTTGTCTTCTCTGGCTCCTACATGTAAAATAATGCTAAGTTAGAACAAGATCTTTTGAATGTCAGGGTTTCCTGTACCACTTTCCCATGTGTTGCTATGACCATCTACACCTCATACTAGTAGTTTGCATTGACTCTGCCTTTTATAACAAAAAATGCATTTCTCTTAAAAGGAAATTTTATATCACCAGGATAAATAGACAACCAGAACCCATTACCTGACCAAAAAAGAATAAAACAGTAGCAGTAAAAATAAATATAATAACAATTATACAATTAAAATTTTTCTTTGGCAAGGTGGTATTGTCTGCCTAGAGACTGAACCTGGGTCTATTGTTTTTTTTATTAATGGGGGTGTTTGCAAGTGCCAGGGCAGTGTTAAAGACATAATAACACCACACTGAAACATTCTCCAGTCTGAAAACTAGAACTGTAAAGGGAATCTGTCTCAACTGATCAATGCTCTTTAAGGTTATGTTTGTGAGTGACATGAAAATCATCTCCAGGCCCTCCAGCAGCCTGACCCCCAACACCCTCAGAAATTAAGTCAGGGGATTCCAAAAGTTCTTCCAGCTCTAACATTCTAAGACCCGTCCTTATCACCCACCTGCACTCCTCGCCTTCCAGCAGCTTGCGGTAGGTAACGATCTCAATGTCCAAGGCCAGCTTTGTGCTCATGAGCTCCTGGTACTCCCTTAGCATCCGGGCCAGCTCCTCCTTGGCCTGGTGCAGGGCGGCCTCCAGCTCATCCAGCTTGGCCCGGGCATCCTTCAGGGCACAGTCACCACGCTGCTCAGCATCAGCAATGGCTGTCTCCAGGTTGGAGCACTGAGGGCCAGGAGGTAACATCCCCCTGAGTTCTAAGGCACCTGAGCCTCCCTTTACCCCCTCCATGTGCTCACAGTGGTTGGACAGAGCAAAGTTACAGCCATGGTGATGGAGTCCTGTCAACCAGGGACTGGGAGGAGTGCTATCCTCAGCCCCTTGGCTTTCTGAAAAGACCCTTCCAATTGTTCCCAGACTTCAGATAAGGACTAAATGAGGAAGATGAAATGAGAAGCTCCATTTGAGGAAATGGGTTCTGAGATGGAGAACCAAGAGAAGGAATATAGGTGAGTGTATGTGGTGGGCAGTTTACCCCTCCCTTGGAAGTGATCCAGGAACCCCTAAATCCCACTCACCTGCTTCTTCACACTCTCAATCTCTGAGCGCAGCCTTTGGATGAGCCGGGTCAGCTCTGAGATCTCATTCTTGGTGTGCTTAAGGTCATCTCCATGCCGACCAGCCGCCAGCTGGAGCTCCTGGAACTAGAGGGAGATGAGCCAAAGCACGGACCTTGATTCAGGGCCTGGCAGACTGTGTCTTTGCCTGGGTAATGTGGTAGAGGTGGGTAGGGGTCTCCAACTTCACCAGGTCTAACAGTAGCCTCCCACTCCATCACTGAATTAATTGATTGATTGATTGACTGATTTTTCCTTAAACACAGTTGATCTCACTAGTGGTTAGATTTGACCATAGGACTGTTGTAAGTCCCATACCCTCCACACGGCAACTTTATAGCACACAACTCCAGTTATGGTACTCCTCTGCCTATAGCCCTTCAAAGTCTAGGTAAAATTCAAACTCTTGGTATGGCATCAAGGTGCTTTGAAATCTGGCATCCACCAGCCTTTCCAGACTCATTCCTCATAGTCCCTGCCCATCAGCTCCAAGTCCTTTCAATGTCCCATGTGCTCTCAAGTCTCTGAGTCTTTGGCCTCTATCTGGCTCCAACTCAGTCAGCACAAAGTCACTTCCTGCAGGACGTTTTCCCTGATCCCTAGGTTGAGTGCCTTCTGCCGTAGAGCCCCTGCCACACCAGTCCATAGGTCTTACCACACTGTACTGTGGTCACAAGTTTCTATGTCTTTATCATCAGACTCAGAATGACTAGAGGACAGAGAACTTTTTTTCTTAAATTTCTGAATTCCTGGTACGTAGATCAGTGTCTGGCTGGTACTTGAAAGAAGTGTCATTGATGAATGAATGAACCAAAGAGGCAGCTGATGAGCTGCCCATCTGCATTTTCTGTGACTTTCTTTCCTTTCACTGTTCAGTCAGGACCCGGATTAATGGCAGTCTTGTTGGGCATGGAACGACATTTTGCGCATGTGTAGTGAGGATAGATTTGTATATACCCCAACACCACTAGTCATGAATTTTGGGTCATCTACTAGTTAGGGATTATTCCTGCCTTTGATGTCATCCATTGGATAGTTAACAGAGAGTATTCCATTTCTACTCCAGAATTTGGTTTCGGGGGAACACAAACACATGGAATTCAGACCTCTGATGGCTGGGCTCTGCCTATCTCTGTCCCTGGGTGCTTGGCCTTGCCAGTTGTCTAATATCTGACTCCAGCATGGCACTAGATTTAGGGTTTCTCTTAGAGGTAGGGGTCTTCTCTCTGTTCTCCCCTGTTTTATCTTTGGGGATAATTCAGGGGCAAAAAAACACTAGGGCAGGACAGGTGGCCTTCTCTTGTTTCTCTGCAAGGCTGTTTGAGCACAATGGCCCTTCCCACACTCTGACCAGGACAGAAGTACTAACTACCCCAGTTCTGACACCAAACACTCTCCTGAGTGTTGAGTCACATGGCCATCCCTGAACCTGGTTTGCAGCAGTAACTAGAGGGATTTGAGGACTAGGGACTTGAGTTGTAACCTTTATCAAAAAGCCCAAGTCTGTGGTGTCTCCCAGGCTTTGAAAGCTTCCCTGACTCCCACCTCTGTTGGACAAATTTTTCTGTCCCTTGGGTAGCAAGGAAGCAGGGGGATGGACAAGATAAGATCTCAAGAGTGTGGATTTCCCTTGAGAAGAGGTCTGATAAACAACAAGGAACAATAAGGAAGTTGCCACCTAGATCTGAGAAACCACGGTATCTAAAAAATTATCTCCCCACCCACAACTCATTAGAGAAGTTAAGATCTAAATGACTCAAACACCTTCTTTACTCTTGGAGTTGTACTTGAATGAAAAGGTAAGAGCTACCTAATCTCAGAGCACAGTGAAGAGATCCCCTAATTTATTATAATTAACAAGAGAGCTGAGATGTCAACTGCCCATGTTTTCCTCCTTCCCAGACTCAGTTCACAACTCTGCCTCCAGAAGTTGCTCCTGACCTGCCCCATCTGATCCTAGTTTCCTAACCTCTGTTTCCCCTGCATTCATGACTCTGTTTGTACCACATTCATTTGCCCTCAGCTCAGCATGTCCTCCCATGGCTGTCATGATCTAAGTGGATCCTAAGGACAGAGCTCTGTCTTCTCCTCCCTTTGGGCTCCCTCCAGTGCCAGGGAGAGTGTCATGACCCAGCCAGTGTGTGGGCCATGTTGGGTCAGGGGCCTGGGCCAGTGGTCTTGGAACACGTGACTCTAGGTAAGTGTGCTGCCTCACCTTGCTCTGGTACAGGGCCTCTGCCTCAGCCTTGCTCTTCAGGGCAATCTCCTCATATTGGGTGCGGACCTCATCAATAATGCTGTCCAGATCCAGGTTCCGGTTGTTGTCCATGGACAGAATGACAGATGTGTCACTGATGTGGGACTGGATCTGAGCAATCTCCTGCATGGGAAACAAGGAAGTGTGAAATGTCTTTTGTGAGCAGAAGAAGGTGACAAGGTAATGGCCTTATCCCAGCAGGAGAGTCCACAAACCCTCCCAAATAGAGACAGCTGCATTCTCCAAAGCTTATAACAATGGAGGTCACCAGCCCAGAGGTTCCAACACTACACCTAAAAGCTGTTGAATATGTTTGAAGCATCCCAAGAAGAAAACAGACTATGTGTCTGTCCCCTGAGAGTAGTCAGAAGTAGAGAAGTTAGAGAGGAAACAGCATTGACACCACACAAGAGACACTAAGGACACAGGGGCCTCACAGATACTTGGCCAACAGGCTGAGGCTTGAAGTAGTGGAAAGGGTTTGAGGAATCCCCATCTCCATCCCTGGAGATTTCTACAAAGGCCTGGGGAAGTTTCCCAAGTGGCAGAGAAAAGATAGGTAAAAATAAGACTGTGCTCCACTGAAGGTCAGTGGGAACCCCTTAAGAACCCATGCCTTCCTGAAGGATGTGAGAGCAGAACACTGGAAATCAGACATTGGACACTGGGACTGATGACACACCTTATTTGGAGGTATGGAGAGAGATGTCACCCTTGTCTTTCATCTACAAACACCCCCAGCATCCAAATATTAGAGATCTCCTGTGCTCTTAAAGTTGCTGATGAGTAAGTAACTGCTCATTCACGTCTATCCCAGAAGACAGAACTGGGGTGGGTGTGAGGGAACCTTACCCCCTCATAGAGACATTTGAAGAACTTGATCTCTCCGTCCAGGGCGTCCACCTTGGCCTGCAGCTCCACCTTGCTCATGTAGGCTGCATCCACATCCTAAGGGAATTCAGAGACCCCCAAATTTGCCTTTCTTCAAGTCCAGACAGTATTTCCCTGGAAAGTCACCCCAGCACAAACTCTATCACTAGCTGCCTCAGGGACTGGAGTCACAACCCAGGGGGCAGGAACCTGACTTCCACCCAGGAATCACTGTGAGACCTTGAAGAAGTCCCTGGTGCCTCTGGAACTCCTTCTGCCCCATCCAACAATGGGATCATTTTACTGCCTCTATTTCTCAAAGAGAAGCTATGGGAGAGAGCCCTATTCCCCACCACCACCACACCCTCCACAAGCCATCATTCAATAGTCAGAGCTGAAGGCAACCACAGAGGTTTAGCAGAGACAGGGAGAGATATGTCACCTGAGACTGGCCAAGAAGCAGAGAAGGTGGAGGGGAAACAGGAAGGTAAACCTGGAGCCCTTCTCAAAGCATGTCCTGTTCCTGAAGCCGAAGTGGGCATGACCTGGAGATTGACTGTCCATGTTTGGGCTCCTACCCACTTACACAAAACATAAGGACTGACAAAGTGATGTGTTCTCAATACACATCAAGGTGTCCCAACATGTCCCAAGCAGCAAATCCCTCCATCTGCACTGGCACTTCAGCTCCAGACACTTGTAGGGAGCACAGACTTCAGTCTCCTCTCTGATATCACCCTCCAGCCTCCACACTCCATTCCCTGGGTGACCAAGGAATAGGCATAGCCTCCTCACCTTCTTAAGTACCACAAATTCATTCTCAGCAGTTGTGCGCTTGTTTATTTCCTCTTCATACCTGCAAAAGCCACACAGTGAGCAGGATGTGTGTGTGTACCTTTTAATAGGTGTTATTCTACATCTTTGCAAATCTGTCCAACTCTCTAAGACTCTGCTCACTGTGTCTTAAGCATTGTGGGCAGGGTTTGAAGCAAATCGCCCAGGCCAGGTGACCAGATGGTCTGGGGTTTGAATTTCCTTCACTGTGTGGAGAATGAGTAGGTTCTTAATCCTCCCACTCAGTTTCCAAATACTGCTGCCCCTTTCAGCCATGATGCTTGTGTCACTCAGCTCCTCTACCCATAGCACCTCTACCCATAAGCACCTCTACCCATAACTCCACCTCTTCCCAAAGCATGAGTCCCAAGGAACCCAGAACTATCCCCTGGAAGAGGAAGAAGCATAGCCCAAATGTCCAGGACTGGAGGGAAATAAGAAAGAAAAGCCCAACAGAAATTCCAGATCCCTGACACATGGGGGAATTTTCCTTGGAACTTAGAGGGAAACAGTGAGCTGGGGAGCCAAGAGCCTGTGAGGTATGGACACTTGAGCCCTTGTGAGTGGGGAGAGAAGAGAACATGCCCAAGACGTGGTCACCTGTCAAGACAGTCCTGCTGCTTTTTAAGAGGCTGGCTGTCCCCTGTCCAGCTTGCCTGACTGTCCAGAGAAGGCCCTCATCTTCCTCAGGCAGAGGAGCTCAGGATGGGTCACTCCCACCTGAGCTCAGTGCTCCTGAGACCAGAAGCAAATGTTCCAATGCCAGCTGAGAAAGCCCAAACCAAGAGGTGATCAACCTGGATGCAGGACTCCTACTCACCTCTTCTTGTAGTCCTCCACCACGTCCCGCATGTTCCTCAGCTCCGAGTCCAGCCTCACCTTGTCCCCGGACAGCGTCTCCAGCTGCTTCCGCAGGGTGCTGATGTAGCCCTCGTACACGGGCTCCAGGTTGTTCTTGCAGTTGTTCAGGTCCAGCTGCTGCAGCAGCTCCCACTTGGTCTCCAGCACCTGGTTCTGCTGCTCCAGGAAACGCACCTGGAACCCAGAGCAACAAGAACTCCATCATGGAGAAAGGCTGTGGTGTTTCCTTTCCCAGATGGTAGCTGTGTTCTCTTATGCTGCATTAGCTTAAGGAGTAAGCCTCAGCCCTTAGAAAAGTCACTCATGTTCCTCCCCACCCAGGCCCTTTGTCTGACTGAGGGTTCTCTTTCTGGGAGCAGCCAGTAAAATCATTACCCTCGGGTCAAGATTTGTCTCGTCTGCACCTGTCTAAACCTGCCAGGACCAATATTGGTGATCACCCTGAGCCAGCTCTCTAAGGCAAGTTCTTAGACATGTAAACGGGCCTACAGTGGCCTTCATGCTCCCGAGTGGCTCTGTCTGAGCCCAGTGGCCTGACCTGCACTCTGCCTACTCTCTGTCTCCTCAGTCATGGCCTTTCCCAGCCCAGCCAGAGGTCTATACTCAGCTGACCTTGGGTCTCAGCCCCTCCTATGTTCATGTCCTCAATGCCCTATGATCTCAGAGCATTTTCCATCATTCTCAAGGAGCGGCCTATAAATATTGTGCCATTCCCTTGCAGAAAACCCTCTAGTAGTTCCACAGCACCTACAGAGCCGAGTCCAAATCCCTCTTATGCTCTTCACAAGGTGCCAGGCCCCTCTTCCACCATTCACCTAGCACCCACACAAACCCAAGGCAAGTCCACACTCTTCAGGCAAGTCCTTCATGTTGCACGTGAAGGCTCCCTCTCCCTTTTCCTACCTCTGTCTGATGAACTCCTACTTAGGCCTGACCACCCTACCTCATTGTCACCTTTGGTAAGCTTCCTCTACCCCCTGAACATCAGGAGGCCTACTTCCCAAGATGTTCCTACCCCTTTGTTCCTCAATGGTTCTCAAACTGGAGTGTGCCTCAGCATCACCCTTGGGGTGTGTTAGAAATGCCCATTCTAAGGCCCCACTCCCAGAGTTTGTGGTTCAGTAGGCATGAGGTGGGGCCTGAGAATGTGCATTTCCAGTGAGTGCCCAGGTTATGCTGATGCTGCCAGTTCAGGGACCACTTTGGGGAGCCCCCACTCCAGTGCACCACTGGTCCCCATGTGCCTTGTGCTATAATTTGGATGTATTACAAACCATGAGTCTGTCTTCTGGCCAGAATCTGAGGTGCTTTGAGTCCCATAAGGGAAGGAGGTGGGCCTTATGGCATTCTACACATCTGGCAGCCACATCTGAGGCTGCCACAGGCCTCTCCATGGTCTGGTTTCTAAGTTTCACACGCCATCACTCTCCTACTTCTCAACTCATGTCACTTTCACTGCCTCCAGGAGACCTTCCCAGACTAAGCTTATTGATGGTTAGCTGAGGGATGCCTCCTGGAGAGCATATAGATGGACACATGGTCCCCAGGGCCACACTGCCAACAAAACTGCTGCCAGCAAAACTGCTGGCCCAGCTTCAGTGAAACCCATAGACCTTTCCAGACTAGTTTGTTCCACCCTGACCACCCTGATCTCTCAGCACTGATATCCAGGGCTTGTCCAGTTCCTCCCTGCCCTGTCCTCAGCTGTGTCTGCATCCTGGGGAGGTGTTCTGCCTTCCTCTGCCTCAGACAGGGGGCTCCCAAACGCAGTGAAGGGAGAAGAAAGAAGGAGCTCTACACGGCTTCCTCCAGAAGTCTCACCTTGTCGATGAAGGAGGCGAACTTGTCATTGAGGGTCTTGATCTGCTCCCGCTCTTGAGCACGCACTTTCTGGATCTTGGGGTCCAGCTCCACATTAAGGGGAGCCAGGAGGCTCTTGTTGATGGTTACCTGAGAGATGCCTCCTGAAGGGCACATAGATGGACACATGGGCCCCAGGGCCACACTGCCAAACATGCTGCCAGCAAAACCACTGGCCCGGCTTCGGCCAAACCCATAGCTCCCCATCCGCCCACTGCCACTGGTCACACTGAAGGAGACGCTCCGGGTGCCCCCCAGGCTGTAAAGGCTCCGACTGCTGAAGCCCCCACTGAGCCCTTTGCCCCCTGCCCGGTAGGAGGATGAGCTGCCCCCCAAGAGCACAGCTGAGCAGCCGCTGAAGCCCCCCTTGGCAGTTCCTGACTTGTAAGTGAACTGACGGCTCATGCTGAAAATGCCAGAGATCTGGAATAAAAAGCTAATCCTCAGGTGAGATGCAAGTCACCAGCCTGTGATTTTGGTCTCTCCCTTTATAGGGTTTGAGAGGCAGCCACTGCACTAATTTGTGGGCTTAGTTTGCCTGGGAGCAAGAAATCATTTTCTCCCAGCAAACTCAGAGACACCAGCTAAATAATTTGAAACCCCCCAAAGTGATAGGCTTGCAAGGGTTGCTCATGTAATTTGAGTCTTATCTAATTAATGTGGGGCATTTAGCCTGGCCAAATTATCTCTAGAAAGATCTCGGCCCGGAGGTTTGTCACAGCCTCAGCTGCCTTTCTCCAGGGAGTGGTAAGGGGAGTGGGTGGACTGCGGGGGTACAGAGGGAAGATCTTTAATTGACAGTGTCATCTGTGAGAAATCTCACGACTGTATCAACATCAGATGGGCTACTGCAGGGACTACTTTTATGTGGTTAGGAAGAACTCCACAGCCAACTTCCCAGGGTTCCTGGAGACAGTTCTTATGGTGGCCAGAACCATGGGCAATGAGCTGGGACTAGGAATCCAAGCCAGTCCTCTGGCTCGCAGCCGTGTTGTGGCCTCCCAGGAGAATCTCCTGCTCCTCTGTGCTGGCCAGCTGCTCTGCACACACTGACTTTGCTCCAGACTCTTTTCACCACTCTCACCCTTGACCTTGCAATAATAATATTGTTACTATTCATGATGGTTCACACTAGTGAAATGCTTTACAGCATTAAAACAGCTCCTGGCACACAGAAGCCCATGTAAACCACTTGACCTGGGGAGAAGTTGTGATGATCCTCATTTAACAAATGGGAAAACCAAGGCTCAGATAGCTGAGGCCAGCAAACATTTCATGAGCCCTTTCTTTGTATGAATCCCAAAGGATGCTAATGCCCAACAAAACCTAGGCCCCAGCCCAAAGGACTCCCTTAGCTGGTCTCTGTCCCCACATTCAGAGGGGCCTTACCTATGCAGGTCTTATTCATCTGTCCAGCCAGATAGCCCGCCATTCACCTGCTCATTCATTCAGCCATCCATCCACTCATTTAACAAACCTCTGTTGAGAGCTGACTTTGTCTTGGGTACTGTGCTAGGCTCCAGGGTCATAAATTAGTAAGACAGAAACCTAGTTTTCAATTGTAGGGGAAGAGCAGACACTTAAATTTCATTAGACCCTTGACATTACCAAAGTATTCACAATTCCCAAATCCCAAATATATTCACAGTACATAATTTCCTCCATAAAAATGCAATTATTTCACTAGCTGAAGTCCTTGAATGACAAGTTTGCCAATTCCTCTTTGCTATTTCTACTCTGAGATTATGTCATTATTCTGTATTATATAACACAATAACATTATATCTCTAATACTGGTATACCAAGCAGTTGCCAGATTTAACCTTCCCTTTTGTTTTTATACAAAAGAGCTATTTTCTAGTTAAGAACAATCATTTTCTTAGATGGTCTCAATTTCTCCATCAGAAATGGCACTTGGTGATATTTACAGTATTTTCCCACTAGACACACAGGATTTATCTCTTTATGACTTTTCTGTAAGACATGAGTGAAGATAAACAAAGCTGTGCTCTAGTGACGACATTATTCCAGCCAGAATCACCCCCTAATGACTCTTCTCAGCACACAAGAGTCAAGGTAGACATGACTTAGACTCAGATTCCACTCTCTGCAGAACTACAAACTGCTGTCACGGGTCTTAAGATCACTCCCTAAAGGCTGAAAGCAAGCGTTCACAGTGTGAGCACCAGCTCTGCAGTATGGTGTGCCAGGGTCAACGTGCAGCTAGCCCCTCATCCTGAGTGGTCTCCACTTCCTGTCTCCTACCATGGCCTTCTCTCCTTGTGAACTTGCCACACGTTACCCTGGGAAAACTTCTCTGGTCACATCTCAATCCAGCCACTTCTCTGCTCTAATTTGGAGTCTCTACCTGTGTTCCAGGTGTGTGCCAGTCTTCCCTGACAGCCAGAAAGTTCCTCAAGGACCTGTCCCACCCTCCCTCTGGTCCTCTTTACCCACTTCCCAGAACCACGGGGGGCGAGGGGTTCTCAGGAAGTCTTGGAGGGTGCAAAAAGACTCTTATGGGTCCCCTAAAATCATTTGTCCTAAGGACAGGTTCCTTAGCACCTGTCTTTAAAACCTTCTTAAATTACTTTTTAAATAGTGGGCCCTTATATTTCACATACTGCCACTGCTCTCCACAGGGGAAACTTGACATCAGCTGACCCCTTATTAGCCTTCACCCAATTACTAAGTCAGCCCCACTTCCCACAGAGGGGCAGTGCTGCCATGGGCCTTCATCCAGGGCTTTAGGGGAGGTGTCTTTGATGGGTTTAGCACAAAAGAAACAGGAAATTTACTCCCATCATGCCAGGCGCAATAAAATCCTGCTGTGAACGAATAGTATATCTCATCTTGATAGATGGAACAGTAGTACTTGATCTTACACTGCTCTAGTGAGGGAAATGGTATGAACTCTATTCCTCCACCTATTGCAACTAAAAATCTGGATATTAATATGAGACATATGTAAGAAACATACAAGCTAGAGACCTCAGGAGTCAGGGAACGATGTGGTGGTGAGCTCCCTGGTTTTCTATTTGTTTCATATATTCCAGACTTGGAGTGAAAGAAGGCAACACCTGGGAAGGGCACTGGTGTTTAAAAGCCTTACCTGTCAGCCAAACTTGTGGAAGTGGGACAGGCCAGCAAGACAGAAACTTATGGACAGTAACCAGTCTGCTCCAGCCAGCACCACAGAAAACACTGCAGCCCCACCTCATCCACTACAGCAGAGTGGGAATCCTAGATACAAGTTCAGCAGTGTTTGGAAATTCTTAGATGAAGAAAAACTAAGAGAGTCTATTGACAGCAGGACTGCCTCATGGAAATGGCTAAAGGGAGTTTTCTGAACAGAAAGGAAATGATAATAGAAGAAACCTTGGAAAACTAAGAAGAAGGAAAGAATATGGTAATAAAAAATAAGTGTTGCCTACCTGGTGTGGCTCAGTAGATCGAGTGCCAGCCTGAGAACCAAAGGGTCACTAGTTCAATTCCTAGTCAGGGCACACACCTGGGTTGTGGGCCAGGTCCCCAGTGGGAGACATGCGAGGGGCAACCACACACTGATGTTTCTCTCCCTCTCTTTCTCCCTCTCTTCCCCTCTCTCTAAAAATGAATAAATAAAATCTTTTAAAAAATAAGGGTAAATGCAATAGACTTTCCTTCTCCTCTTGAATTTTCTAAATGTTTGAACCTAGAAGCAAAAGTTATGATATTGTCTAATGTGATTCTAAAGATATTTAGAAGAAATATTTAAGAAATTACATTATAGACTTCTTGCACAACCAACTTTAAAAACAACAAAGTTTTAGCAACAAAAACTCAGCCAAACCACAGAAAATTGAACTACACAGAAATCTGACAACAACGAACCCTTCAGCCAAACCGATAAACTGGTGAAGGAGCTAGCAGTGAGACAGACTGCACAGGCCCCAACAGCAGGAAGTGGCAGAGGGAACTGCCATTGTCCCTCTCTGACCCCACCCCCACATACAGCGTCACAAACCAGCGACCTGGGTGGCCCTGCCCTGGTGAACAACTACGGCTCTGCTCCTCCTACATAATAGGCATAAACAGATAAAAACATGGATCAAGAACAACTCAGAGCCCTGGAGCCAATAAATCTAAGCGATGAGGAAATAGCCAAACTTTCAGATGCATAGCTGAAAACACTGGTGATCAGGATCCTCACAGAACTGATTGATTTTAGTCACAAATTAAAGGAACATATGAAGGCTAAACTAATTGAAATGAAGGGAAATGCACAGAAAACCGATAGTAATGGAAAGGGAACTGGGACTCAATCAAAGGAGTGGACCAGAAGGAGAAAAAAATGACCAAACAGAACAGGATGAAGAAACAAGAATTCAAAAAAATGAGGAGAGGCTTAGGAACATTCAGGACATCTTTAAACGTTCCAACATCCGAATTATAGGGGTACCAGAAGGGGAAGAGGAACAGCCATGAGTGGAACACTTATTTGAACAAATAATAAAGGAGAACTTCCCCAATCTGGCAAAGGAAATAGACTTCCAGGAAATTCAGGAAGCTCAGAGAGTCCCAAAGAAGTTGGACCCAAGAAGAAACACACCAAGGCACATCATCATTATTACATTAGCCAAGATTAAAATGAAGGAGAGAATCCTAGAAGCAGCAAGAGTTAAGGGGACAGTCACCTACAAAGGAGTTCCCATCAGACTGTCAGCAGATTTCTCAAAAGAGATCTTACAGGCAAGAAGGGGCTGGAAAGAAGTATTCCAAGTCATGACAGCCAAGGACCTACAACCAAGATTGCTCTATCCAGCAAAGCTTTCATTTAGAATGGAAGGACAGGACTTCCGCCAAGATGGAGGTGTAGGTGGACCCACCTTGCTTCGTGCACAACCAAATCTAAGAACAACTATTTTTAACAACGATAATTACAACCAGACCACACAGAAAATCGACAATACGGAGTCCAAAAAAAAAGGACGAAATGCTCGGCTAAACGGGTAAGCCAGCAGCGAAGCTGGTTGACCGAAAAGATCCCTGACCTGGTGGCGCACAAGCAGGCGAAGGCGCGGATCGGATCACGGGCTAGCTACGGGCTCACACAGGGAAGAGGCACGGCTGGCTGTCTACGGTAGGTCGCTCATTTGCATGCAGATAAACCAGTGAAGAGGCTGGTATTGAGACCGCAGGGCGCAGGGCAGCAGGCTCCCACAATTCTGCTTGGATAAACAGGCTGGGGCGAGTGGTGGGAATGGACTGGGCTGGCGGAGAGGACCGCCATTGCTCCCTCTCTGACCCCACCCCCACACACAGCGTCACAAACCAGCGACCTGGGTGGCCCCGCCCTGGTAAACAACTAAGGCTTCGCCCCTATTACTTACCGGCGCGAACAGACCAAAAATGGCTCAAGAAAA